AAAAATCTCAAGATGATGAGATTGGTGATGGCACCACTGGCGTCGTCGTCCTCGCTGGTGCTCTTTGGAACAAGCCGAGCCACTCTTGGACAGAGGAATTCACCCTATCCGAATTGCTGATGGTTATGATAAGGCCTGTCAAGTTGCCCTCAAAACTCTCGACAGAATTGCCGAGGATTTTCCTATCTCTGACAAGGTAAAAGACAACATTTGCAAACAGTCGTTTAGATTGTTTTAGGATATGCTCAAGCGAACAGCCAGAACTACTCTTGGCTCTAAAATTGTCAACCGATGCCATGATCAGTTCGCCGACATCGCTGTTGAGTCCGTTCTTGCCGTCGCTGATTTCGAAAAGAAAGATGTTAATTTTGAACTCATCAAAATGCTCACCAAGGTACATCTTTACTTACTTGTTCTTTTCAAACTACCAATATATTTTCAAGGTCGGAGGAAAGCTCGATGATACTCAGTTGATCAAGGGTGTTGTCATCGACAAGGACTTTAGTCACCCTCAGATGCCCAAGCAAGTTGAAAACGCTAAACTCGCAATTTTGACTTGCCCATTCGAACCTCCAAAGCCAAAGACCAACCACAAGCTTGATGTCACCTGTGTAGAAGACTACAAAGTAAGATCTTTTCTTAAAACTATCTATAGCATTATTTGTAGCAATTACAAACTTACGAGCGGGAAAAATTCGAGGAAATGATCAAACAAGTGAAGGATACTGGAGCTAACCTCGCCATTTGCCAGTGGGGTTTCGACGACGAAGCCAACCATCTCCTCCTCCAGAACAACTTACCAGCTGTCCGATGGGTCGGTGGTCCCGAAATTGAGCTTATCGCTATCGCCACTGGCGGTCGTATCGTCCCCCGATTCCAGGTACTCATCGTTGATATCAATCTTGAACCAAGCGCGTTTTCCTTAGGAGCTCACCAAAGAAAAACTCGGCGAAGCTGGTATTGTCCGAGAAATCGACCTTGGTACCACTAAAGAGCGAATGTTGGTTGTCGAACAGTGCAAGAACAGCAAGGCTGTCACAGTTTTCATCCGAGGCTCCAACAGAATGGTCATTGCCGAGGCCGAGCGATCCCTCCACGACGCTATCTGCGTCGTCCGAAATCTCATCCGAGATTCAAGAATCGTCTACGGTGGTGGCGCTCCTGAAGTTGCTTGTGCTCTTGATGTTGCTGAAGAAGCTGACAATACTTCTGGACTCGACCAGTGGGGCATGCGGTAAGTCTGATAAGTTCCCATCACCCGATAATTATTTTTAGAGCATTCGCTTCAGCTCTTGAAAGCGTACCCATGGCCTTGGCCGAGAACTCCGGTTTGAATCCAGTTGAGACTTTGACTGATCTCCGATCTGACCAAAAGACCACTGGAAACCCCCGACTTGGTGTTGATGCTCTTTATACCGGAGATCGAGATATGAAGGTATCATCGAAAATGGATGTTTTGGCGTTACTAACTATTTTTAAAGGTCCAAAATGTTGTGGAGACCCTCGTTGGAAAGAAACAGCAGCTCTCGCTAGCAACACAGCTCGTTCGAATGATCTTAAAAATCGACGACGTCAGAACGGTCGGCGCTCAATAATTCACAGACAAACTACTGTATCCCTTTCTAGTATTTTAGCCTTTTTAGGATCAATTATTCCTGAGATCAGTGTCACAACCTCACTCTCTTCAAACCTTGTTTTTTGAATGCTTGAAGCTGAGCACCACATATTTGTTTTTATTTGATTCCGCCAACTCAACGATTATTTTACACTTCGTAAAGAACAAAACTGACCGATTTTAGCAACTGAAAATACCACCATTATAGTTCATACTTCCTGTGTCTTTCACCTATACTTTCAATACATGTTTTATTTGATAAAAGAACCCTCCAGTGTCTTTCTCAATTTTTTGCAGAAGTGTGATCAGGTTTAGTTAAGAAAAAACATGCGGCTATGGTGTTGACAGTTCCAATCGGACTGTGGTCAGGTCGGAATGTCAACTGTAAATGTACCTGCTTCGGTCGAATCGAGTCCAACCTTGACAATGTCGAGTACTGGATTTATGCTACCTTTGAGAGCGGCCAGATCTTCATTTGGAAGGTTTCCGATCAGAACATCATCCACAAAAGCGTCCTAATACAGGACTCTGATGCATCTCCGATAGTGAGCACATCATCTTACGGGAAGAATCATCTAGCAACGCTTTCCCTCTCCGGGTTAATTCAGTTTTGGCATGTTCCTTCTGGCCGCGTAGTATTCTCAATTCAAGCGTCTGATCGTCTTGGAGGTCTTGTTACTCTCTCTGAAACATTGATAGCTGCTTTCGGCGAACTCAGTGAAGTCCTTGTTTTCAGCACAAAAACTGGAAAGCGCGAGTTCTCACTTTGCTGCCGTTTGTACCCGGACTGGATAACTTGCGGGGTCTCAATAAATGTCCCCGATCTATCAGTTTTGCTCGGCATAACGGCAGGTGGAACTTTGAAAGTATGGCGCGTCTCAACAGAGCCTCAACAATCGCTAGAAGAGCCACTTTGGGAGGAAGAGTCGAAGCAAATCCGATCATGCGAGCATCCGATTGTTCTGAAATTAAGGAGCGAATACGCCCTTGTCGTCTGTAAGAAGTCCTTCTTCATCTTGGACTCATCGGATTTTTCAAGCATATCTTATCAGTCGATTGATAGCGATTGCCTCGTCGATGGATTTTTCCTTCAAGCAAGTTCAAACTTCGCCATCGTGTCGGAGAACAAAGCTCTGAACTTGTCATATTTCACGATCTACTCAACAGCGAACCTTAAGCCTCAAAGTGCGGATGACCAATCTCCGCAGCTCATTTGGCGAACGTCTGCTCCCCTGCACTCGAACTTTCAACTTTCTGGAAAACGTCTTCATTCAATTGCTCCTTCTCTTGAGATCTCTACATATGTAGCGCAGGAAGATTCACTAATTGAGATAGCTAAAACTGCTTCTTGCAGTGGAGTTGAAGGCGAACTTGATGTATTTTGCACGAATGACTCCTACATCACTGCGGTTTGCTTTGTTGAAGAGAAGGATACCCTCATATTTGGTCGTTCTGATGGACATCTTGTTATCGCTCCTGCAATTCCTTCTTTTGCAAAATGTGTTTTTGATATTAACGAAGACGTAGATGTCTTTACATCTGCAGTAGCCAATTACGCCGAGATCACTTGTCTCATGTACCCATACCAGCATAACACCGCTTCATATGACGACGATGTCTTTTTTGTTGGTAGCGCCGACTTCTCTGTCTCAGCATGGTCACTAACACATAAACAAAAGTTGGTAGAATTCCACAATCACATGGCTCCACTGCTGAGTCTCACAATTTGCCCGATAAAAGTCGGAAAATCAGCTGGCACGGCCGTTTCGATCGATGTCGATGGCGGAATCTGCGTATTGCATCCGAAGACGCACCAATGTCTCCTTTCTGATCCTGGCTTTGGTCAAGCGATAATTGATGTCGCTTGGACAAATGATGGGTACCTTATTGTCACTCGTGAAGACGGATCATGCAAGACATGGGATGCATATTCGATGGCTCTTGAACGGGAAACTTCTTCCTCTCAAGCGAATGAAATTCAGTCAACAGCTGAGCTATATCCCCACGATAAACCTCCGGCAAGGAGGCAGCAGCTCATTTTTGTCCAACCAATGTTTCTTGATCAGCTTGATTCTCCACCAATTCTCAAGTGTTTATCGTTTCACTTCGATGTCGAAAAAATGGTTCAAAATATCATCCAGCACTATCGACTGAATCAAACAAGTATCAAGAAAATGCCATCGCGTCAAGCCTCTGAAGACAAATCACAGCCAAATTTAACCAATACTCTCAAGATAACAGGAATGCAGTTATTTTCTAGCGTCCAGTCAAAAATTAAAGAATCGCGCTCAGGTCGCCAATCTCCAGCAACTCCGACCTCACCAAAGTCTCCTCAACAACAAGCTACATCGCCATCGAAACTATCCTTATCAAGCGCACCATCACTAGATACTTCTGAAAGTGCCATCTTGGGACCTCAATCGTTAGCATTCGGACGTATTCTTATCATGACCTTGCATGCATGGGGACTTCAGCCATCTCTTGATGAGCTTCTAGTGACGATGATATCCTTTGCGCGACCGAAAAAGTCACTGATCTTTGGAGTCCGTCGTCAGAGCTGCTGTGTTTTCTTTTTCCCTGAAGAACCAGACAATTTTAACGAACACTGGAACATTTCAAAAGACTTGACGAATCTCCATCTCATGTCGATAGGTTCTCTTTGCAACAGTTTGATGAATTTGTCCGAAGAAATCCTCGGTGATGGTAGACAGTGTTGGTCTGGACTAGTCACTCTCCACTGCGCCTTGCTAAGCGATCTATTAGAAAAGTACACTCCTCCCGCTCTGGAAACACTGGCGATTCGCTGGTCTGATCGTGTGCAAGAGATTCGCGAAACGGGACAAAGCCTTCTTCTTGATCAACTAAGACGTAATGACGAAAAGACCCGTGGACGCATTATCCAACACTTCCTCAATCAACTTTCATCATCCAACATGCAAACAAGTAATACTGCGGTTGTCATCCTAGGCGTGCTTGGTGCTGAACTCAACTGCCTCGGTCAATCAACAACAAGAATCATTGCTCAGAAGCTGCTCTCTTCTTGATGCCAACGATAACTCAATTTCAAAGAGGACAGCTGTTGAACTTCTTGGTCGTGGCTTCCATATCTGGGAGCCTTTCGTTGAGCCTGCAACTGTTCTCTTGGCTCTTATGGAAATGACGATCAACTATGAAATGGTGGAGCCACTATTTAACAAGAAGGTGATGGTTTCGCCAAGCGCGGAGCTATGCCGTGCTTCGCATAGAGCTCTCTGTCAAATCGCCCGATCAAAACCCAGCGTCTTCATCACGACAATAGGTAACGCAATGAATTAATAACTGATAAAACATTTCTGTTCGTAGGACGAGAAGTAGCCCGCCATACTGCCGCAATTGCTAATCCAGCTACCTCCCAGAAATTTCAGCAGTCAACGCTTGTCAAAGCCAAAAATGAAGTGTTGCGGATAATAGAGTTTTTGGCAGAAATGCTGCCCAACGAGCTGTCTCTGCTTATATCTGAGGTATTGATATCGACAAAATTGAGAAGTCTAATATTTTTAAAGGTCGTTGACATCGTTCTGTTTTGCTTGGACTCTCAAGCATTCAAGAAAACGAGGTTATCTGACGCTTTTCCTCCACTGCAAAGGTACATTGATACTGCCCCTTATTTGTTATAAATTGCTGTTAGATTTCATATGCTGTCATTCTGCAATAACACCAGAAGAATAGCGGCCGGGACGAAGAATGGGCAGATAATTGTTTATGACTTGAAGACTCTGAAAAGTCAGGTGGTTTCCGCTCATCGAGGCGCAGTATCTGCGCTTTGTTTTTCACCGGATGGAAAATACTTGGCTACGTATTCAAATGGTCTATTAGAAGATTATTTGCATCGTTGTAAATCATTTATTCTAGTTGAAAATCAATTGAGTTTCTGGGTGATGGTATCGTCTATTTTTGGAATGGTTACTTCGCATGTGAAATGCGTCAAATCTGTTGGAACTGTGCCGCTGAGAGTATGGTGTGTCTCAAATTTCTAGTTACAATAATTTTATAGGTTTCGTCGAGCAATATTTCGGAAAACCCGAAGCTCGTCTGGGTCAATAAAGAAGTCGCAGTTCTGCTGAATTCGGACGGCTCAGAATATCGCTTTACGATATAGAAATTATATTCAAGGACGTTTCATTTATTTATACTTGTGTACTTTATATCATCCTGATTTCTTCATTGCTTCTTCAACTCGCTATCTGCTCGTTCTGTCTGTCAATCCACTAGACTGTACTGTTTATCGAAGTTACTGCATGTGCAATAAACTGAATCGAGAGGAATCCTCTCGTACCATATTTATTTAACTTATAGCTAAGATCTCTTGTTTAGTATAAAAATGGTGCAAATCAATTACGAGGTCAGGCTAAAAAGCAACGCAAAATATCAAATGACAGAAATAGAGGATAGTCTTCGGAGCATCTTCGAACTATTCGACGATGGAGTTAAAAGCTTAATTCCGAAACAAGACAAGGAAAAGATCATGAACGCGATTAACGAGATTATGGACGAAACTGAGACGAAAGATCTGCTGGAAGCGTTGAACGTCGTGGAAGAGTGCGTTTCTGAGGTTATGATTTGCGAAGAGAGCGAAAAGTACAGTGATATTCCTAATACTGCCCTCGGGAAGTTCTATTTGTACACCATGGACAAAGCTGAGGGAGAAGAAGAGCACATTGATGAGGAAGAAGGTAACATACTCTCGCCTTATTTCAAAACTAATTTATCTTCTGAAGATGGCGAAATCGCTGCTTGCCAGACATGGATGTTACCGAACAAGGCGTTTTACGGACTGTGGGAGTCGCTGCACTACTCATCATCGCTCAAAACCGATCTCATTCAATACGCGGAAACATCTTTTCGGCTATCGCAACTAGGAGTCAGCAACACGCTCATTAGCTGGAACAAAGTCATTCTTTTTCATGGCCCTCCAGGCACTGGAAAGACTTCCATCGCTCAGGTACAAACCTTTAATTGCTCAAAAACAATCATTTCTTTAGGCATTTGCTCAAAAATTAGCGATTCGACAAATAGGCGGCTATCAAAATACGGCACTTGTGGAGATCAACTCACATTCTCTCTTCTCAAAGTGGTTTTCGGAGTCAGGCAAACTTGTTCAGAAAATGTTTTCTAAAATAAGAGACTATGCGGGTTAGTTGACGCTTTCAGATCACGACTACAACTATTTTAAGATGACAAGTCGATCATGACGATCATCCTCATCGACGAAGTAGAGAGCTTAACCTCTGCTAGATCGGGTTCCGCGAATGAGCCAGCAGATGCCGTTAGAGTAGTCAATGCTGTTCTTACGCAACTGGACTCGCTGAAAAAGTACCCGAACGTTCTCGTTGTTTGCACATCGAACATCACTGGCAAAATTGATCTGGCATTCATCGATCGCGCCGACATGAAGATTTTCGTTGGACCACCAGAGCCAAAAGCTATCTACACTATCCTCGAGTCTGCGTTCAACGAATTATATCATAAAGGCATGATTACAGGCAAATATTCCTTACGATCAGAAGGATACGACCTGCCAAAGTAAGAGCGGTTTTCATGCTCGGTGAATATTTTTAAGTCCAACTGACAGCGAGAGAAGCCTTATTGCGATCGCCGACAGTGCTCAAGGAATCAGCGGACGCACGCTTCGAAAGATACCATTCCTGGCCTTGATGAAGTACTGCGCTGGAGCTCAACAGGTCACTCTTGACAACTATCTTAACGCTGTCGAAAAAGCCATCGAAAGCGACAAGGTTGAGAGAAAGCATCTTTCTGGTAAAAATAGCTCTCTTTTCTTTCAATCACTATTTATTTAGATGAAAACCCGAAGATGGAAGCCTAGCCGTTCACCTACATTTTACTTTTCACATTCCCTTTATCAACTTTTCACATCACAACTGCCACGTGCCATCGAGTTCAAATAAAAGGCATATCACGATTCCCAATAAAAATATTTTTTCATTAAGAATGGACCTTTTGCTTCCGAGCAATCTGTCTCTTCCATCGAATGGAAATGGTCTTATTGTAGGCGCCCTGTATTCGCCTGGTAATAATAACAATTAAAAACAATCTGGTTATTTCTCTCTAGGAAAATTGTTAATACAAAATTTTGTGGAAACTCCTTCTCAAGATAAAGAATCTGAGTGTGCCTTGTATGAGCATATTTACAACCACACAAGAGAAGTCATCGCTCGGCTTAGCGGTGGAATAAACGTTCTTGGAGGCTTCTTTGTTGATGAGAAAGAAAATAGTGACTGGCTAAAAAGTACGAAGAAATTAAGACGGGAGGGACATATAGCAAACGAGACAATCTTTGCGTACATCGAAGGTAAAAAATCTGTAGTTTATTGAAAATAACCCGGCATGTTAGATGGAAGTATTCGGGCCAAACGTATTCGAGACTCTGGAGATGTTCAAAAAGTAGAAGTAAAGACTGTATCTTCCTCAAAATTCCCCCTGACACAGATCCGCTCCCAAGCATCCTTTCAATTTTCGCTTCCCATCGTTTCCAAATCGCAGAAAATCTACGCCTCAGAAGTCGGGAAGCAAATAACGAACTTCGCAGTCGAAAAATTATCCAGTTTCGAACTCTTCGTCAATAATAGATTCAGCGAAAATGGCGAGCTTGTTATTCCAAAAAATGCGTCAACAGTTCCTGAATTCCTGATGGCTGATATCTATCATGAAGGTCATGATGTGCCGATTCAATTAGCCGATAGCCCCTCTATGAATGTACAAATCTCTATTGCCGTAAGAGCTGCTATCACTAGAAAATCTTCCATAAGTGATTTGAAAGAACTGATCAGGTAATCCTTCGTTTTATCTTCAATCCTAAAACTCAACTAGAGTGGATGTACAGCGCTCGTTATCAAAAAGATTTGAGATTTTCACCGAGGATCTCATCCTCGAGCTCGATGAAGACAACCCTCTCATGACAAATGGAATACTGGCTAGACGAGTATTCACATCAATCAATGGTGGCTTTCCAATCTCGTTGTACGAGAATTTTCAAACAAAAGCAGGCGACGACCTCGAGTTTATCTTCAACATATCAGAATCCACGGAACCCTTCGAGGTTAATGCTGGAGAATCTTTATCTTTTATTATGTTTCTATTTAGTATGCGGAACCAGAAGTAAAAAATACGACCGTTATAGACAGAATTCGCGATGAAGAACAGGCATCAACTAAAATTTCTAAGAGCAACCCCTCGAGTAACAACTCGGCCAACAAAAATTTAATAATGGCGCTCTTGGTCGCTATCTTAGCTGTAATTCTTTCACTGTTACTTTCAAGGTCTTCGTAAACATGTGCAATAATAATAAATAAACATCACTCCTCTTATTATTTTTTTTAGACTTGATCATGTTGCGAAGCTCTCGATCATTGATCAACCGATTTGCCTCTACCAAAGTCTTCTTTGACATCAACGCTGGTGGAGAAGGTACCCAGCGTATCACCTTCAAGGTTTTTCATAGTCGATTCTATTTCTTATATATTGAGTAGCTTTATGATGATGTTGTGCCAAAAACTGCCGAGAATTTCCGTCAGCTGTGTACTGGAGAAGCTGGCTTTGGATACAAAGGATCCAGCTTCCACAGAATCATCAACGATTTTATGGCTCAGGGCGGGGACTTTACTGCTGGCAATGGCACTGGCGGAAAGGTACCCAAACAATCACATGCTTGCTCTTATAGTTGATTCAAGAGTATCTACGGCCGAACCTTTGCCGACGAAAACTTTAACATCCGGCACGAGCAGCCCTACCTCCTTTCGATGGCCAATGCCGGTCCAAACACTAACGGTTCGCAGTTCTTCATCACTTTTATTCCCTGCCCATGGCTCGACGGCAAGCATACCGTCTTCGGTGAAGTTGTAGATGGCAAAGAAATCGTTGATATCATGAATAAGTACGGCAGCCAAAGTGGCCGACCTAGAGCGAACTTCACTATTGCCGACTGTGGCGAGCTCAAGGAAGACGAACTTGACTAAATTATTTATTTCTGTTGTTCAAAATTGCCTTCGCTGGCCATCTGCCTGACGACTTTAGAATAAATTACCACTCAAAACTTGAATTTCACGAAGATCGCCATGTAAATCATTGTGATTTAGACATGTCTCGAGCAGTGGGATGGGTTTCGTCGCCCTCGGATATCACGAAGGCGGCATTACAAAAGGCGGACCAAAGTTCATTTTTCATCCTAAGAACTCATGGCCCAACCTCTTTCACTTTGAAAGACGGCTCATCTGTACGAGAGCAGCAAGCTGACGGAAACGGTGGTTCAAGCGCGAAGGTATGCTACCGTATAAACTCTGGTTAACCAAAACCTAAATCAATGATTTTAGCGAGTCTATAAAGTCACTCTTGGCGCAATTCATAGTTGCAGTTGTATAGCTTTCAAGCGCGAGCGCACTATCTGCAAGCATATTTGTTGGGTGCTGCTGAAGCGCTTTCGAATGGCTAAATCAAATCCACTGATCTGGCAAGGAGGGTTTGTCCCCCGCGAATTCGATGAGCTTCTCCGCGGGGATCATGCTCGAAAAGAAACGAAGCCGGTGGAGCAATCTGGCGATTCTGAACAACCATCTGAAAGTGGCCCTACTCCTGGGAGAGCACTCAATGCTGACGATGTTTGCCCTATTTGCCAAGAAGAGCTTCTTGAAGTCCGCATGCCTATCACTTGGTGTCGATGCTGCAATAACGCTGCTCATATTCGGTGTATGAAGGTCTGGGCAGAGCATCAAGACACAATGCAACGCGGCGATGGTGGTGACATTCAATGCCCTTATTGCAGGCAAACATTTGCACCAAAAGAGCAGCTACGACGTGAATTCACCAACACTTGGGAGAGGAAAAAGCACAAGGATGTCATTCATAGCGGCAGCGTTTGTGCCGATTGTTCGATGACGCCGATAAAGGGAAAACTCTACATAGGAATCGGAGATGCTGTGAATTTATGCGGTCAATGCTATCGTAATGGAGCAAGGCCACATGTTCGATTCAATGTCCGTGAGCGACCGGGACAGAGTCTAAAACCAGCAAAACGAAACTTGGCGAATCACCAACTAACGCTTGAGCTCCAAGGCCGCGAAATCCAAGAAGAAGACTACGAACGACTCCTTGAGCTAGACCGACCCGCTTCTCCTGATAGACCTGGGGTTCCAGATCATGTTTTGAACTTACTGCCTTGCCACAAAGTGGGTGCTAATCAGCGGCTACTCAAAGATGGTATGCAGTGCCGAATATGTTTACAAGCGTTCGACCCGGCGCATTATGTCAAACGATTGGACTCTTGTAGTCACTACTTTCACCGTGATTGTATCGATACTTGGTGTCAAAATCATACAGGTTTTTATTATAAGACGGAATTTTATCTAATTATTCTTTCAGAGTGTCCAATTGATGGCAAGAAGATCAGACTACGACAAAAGAAGCCCAGAAGAACAAAAACCAATATCGACATTCTTGAGACCCGACAACGCTCTGCCTTCGCTCCACGTCGGCCAGCTGCTAAGCTTTTGGAACGACGAAGAAAATCAGAAGCAAACTTGATCTCGCCAAACATGTCGGATCTGCTCGTTACAACACCTATTCGTGTCGCTGGATCCTCTTCGCAGTTGCCAATTACCGACGATATCGAGGAAATCAACCCGATTCCCTTGATAAATTTCCGTGTTCGCAATATGCGACTTTAAGTATTTACCCCAAGTGCCCATTGATGCTTGCTTTCTTATATTTCTTTATATTTAATAAAATATATTTTTGTAGAAATGATTGAATCGCTCTTTTTAGAATGTCAGATTGGGGTGGGTTTTCGGACGCAGAACTTCGCCACCTCCGAAGTGGCGGCGATTCAACAGCGACCAAAGCTAAACCAGCCTCGTCCAAATCGCCGAAAAAGGCACTCGCCGCTAAAAAGACCTCAAAGCCAAAACCGCCGAAAAAATTACCTGATGAAGCCCTCCTTCCTACTAGTACAAACGCTGAACCAGCTAAACAGGAACCCAAAGAAGAAATCCAAGTGAACAAAGTTGACACCTCATCAAATCAACCTGAAGTAGTAAGTTTGCGAATCAGCTGACTGTTTTTGATTGAATTTAGCCGGATTTTATTGAAGAAGAAGTGGCCGAGCAAAAGAAAAAGATGGAGATCCAAGAAGTCGAGAAGATCCAAAAAGAGATGGAGGAGAAGAATAAAAGGCGAAGAGCCGCTCTAGCTCAAGAGGTCATCTCTCGCCAAAAGAAAGCTGCATTGGAAAGCAAAATGCTCGCGACGATTCAGGATGAATTAGGTTTGATTCAATGTGCTTTCGTTTTGGAAATTTGTATTTAGTTAAATTGGATAACCTGCTTAATGCGGACGTTGCCGTAATCCGCGATCAAATCGACAAGGCTTGCGTAGAATTTAGCGAAGCAAATCGTCGATTTCAAACAGCAGAGAAAGAGTACGTCGATGCTAAGTTCGACCTCCAGCAAAAACTGAGACAAAGGTAGGGGAAAATTATGGAGTGAGTCAAGTCATCATTGAAGGACAACCTGACCGAGCATCTCATGGATCTGATCCAGATGAACGAAGAGCGGAAACAGAAAAAGCTCGAGGAGTTGACATTCAAGCTGAGCATGGACCCAGAAATCGTGGCGAAACGAGAGGCAGAAGCTGCGGAGAAACTCCGACTGGAACAAGAGGCGAAGGAAAAGGCAATCGCTGAAGCAAAGAAAAAAGCAGCTGAAGAAGCTGAGAAAAATTCACAGAGCACTGAAGCACCTGAAAACACCACTGAAAACACTGATGAGGCGGCACCTGCTGCCTCTCCGACGCCCCAAGAAATCTCAAGAGATCAACCTGCTCAAGACCTATCAAAGCCTGCTGCTGAAACTCCATCGAGCTAAACACTATCGAATCGATTTTACTATCTCCTTTAAGTTAACAATTACGCTTTCCTTTAAAACTTGACACCTTCGCCTTTTTATGGGATTTCTGCAATATACACCTTCTTCTTTCAATCCTCCCTTGAATATCAAACAGCATATTCACGGTTTAAATTTCTGTTTCTTTTCTGTGCCTTCCTTTAAATATATATAATCTGTTGATTCACAGTGCTCAAATTATACCCAGAAATCATTTGAGCGTATTTTTGATAGTTTATTTGCATGTTAGTTGATCAGGGTTTGGTACTTAGTCCGCCTCGAGCGACGGTACCGAATCGTTTATCGGGGCGTTGCATTTCGTAATAGCAGTAAATCAGGATTATAGCACTTGCACCGAAGAAGAAAAATACATGATGAGCATGTATCTGACGAAAAAGTGAGGCAGGAAGAGATCCGAATATGTTGCGCTAAATAAGGAAAATAAAGTTCCTGATGAGAAAGGACTTTGAGCTGTTAGCAGGGTAGGTGTTGTTAAGCAAACCTGACGACAGATTCTTTTCTTTTTCGGCAACTGCATTAATTCCATTCTGAGCGTAGCAGACAATCACTTGATCCCATTTTGTTTCTTTAGGGATGATTGCGATTCCGTCGGTAACATCCAAACTCTCGCCCTTGTAGCTTTTGGAGATTTCCTTTTGCACCAAGCTATTGACCCCAATTATCGGCGTCGGATACCCAGATGCAGTACAGTTAAGCACATTCTCGTCTTTGAACATTCTCTTTAGTCGGGCTTTACTACGATTAGTCGATATAATTTTTTAATTTGTGGCCCTTTCCTGATCTCCAATCATTGAAACTGTTGGAGGATGAAGAACATTCAATTTTGCCGTCGATTCTGAAAAGAATTATTGTAGCTGGTGAATCTAGCTCTTCGGAGCTAGCCTTACCTCTTTCAATGTCGTCCCGCTCGTCTGCATAGACACATTTTACTTCTGATTGATGCATGTCCCGGGTAATTGGCTCAGTCAAAGTCAATGAAACTTCGCATACAGTTTGATTATTGATATTTTCACAGACCATATCAGCGGCGCTGTTTCTTCGTTGTCCATCGAAATAAAACGTCAAGTCAGTGGATTCTTCGTGAGGAACATTCGCTTTACATATTGCTACTCTCTGTGGATGTTTAGGGTCTATCGGATTGAGTTTAAAAAGCAAGTGGTTAATTCATTACCATTTTCGGGATCGCAGCCTTCTGTCGCTTCACAATTAACATCGCTGGAGAAGATTTTGTCCACTACAGTTATTTCTTGTGCATACGAAAAAATTAACAGAAAAAGCGATGTTGTTGAGATTCCTCTCATTGTTCCTTTGTTTCACGAGTGAGCCGAAGGAGTCGGATTATCATCGCACTAGTATAATAAAAGAACTTTTATGATGACGATCACCTTGCCCTGGAGTCAGTTGATTGACTCATGATCATATTTCTATATGTTAAGAATGGTTTGACATATTTTAGTCTAGAAGAAGTTCAATTCAGAATAAATATTCTCAGTTCATATATTCAGAAAATAAATTTGCCCATAAAACAGCCATTCTTTTCATCGGTCTCTCCGTCAAATTTGCTCAAGTGAAAGTACCAAAATGTTCTTCATTCTTCCCGAAGATTACCGAAAAAGATTCAAGAGAAAGAGTCATGTCTTGTGATAGTCGCAATCCGACTATCCAAGAGTACTGCGATTTCCGGCTACGAAATATCCCCTATGGAAGCGATGTTAAACCACAGTCTTGCTACGATCGACCAGTCGACGACGCAGGAAATGCTAGACTTGTTCTTGAGTGGGGAGACTGGCTTGTTATTGGCGTTTATTTTGTGATCGTACTTGGAGCAGGTCTTGGCATTTCTCTCGTCGGAAAGAAGAAGGCTTCTTCGTCAGCTGCAACAGACTTTCTTCTCGCAGGCCGATCCATGTGGTTTCTACCTGTCGCGTTCTCTCTATACAGCTCGAATATTGGAAGCTCTTCCTTTATTGGCTTGGCTGGATCAGGAGCCGCTGCTGGCATCGCAGTTGGTGTGTTTGAGTGGAATGCGATGATTTGCTTACTGATGCTTGGCTGGCTTTTCGTTCCAGTCTATCTTGCATCTGGAATCAAAACGATGCCAGAGTTTCTCCAACGTCGATTTCCAGGAGAGCGAATTCAGCTTTATTTAGCAGTTTTGTCTCTCTTCATTTATATTTTTACGAAGATTAGCGCAGATTTATTCTCTGGCTCTTTATTCATTTCTCTTGCGATTCCATCATTGAATTTATATGTGGCTATCATCATCCTCCTTGCTATCACTGCTGCGTATTCTGTCGCCGGTGGATTGAAGGCTGTCATTTACGTTGAAGCTCTTCAAACTGTCATCATGGTTATCGGTTCAGTCATTATGGCGGTTTATGCGTTCAATGAGATTGGAAGCGAGAATGAGTCTGCATGGGACAGTCTCTGGGCCAAGTACAACTGCTCGATTCCTTCTGACTACCTTTCGCCTCTAGAAACGCAGAATGGCGATGCATGTGGTGCCGTTAGAGATGATTTCGATCATGTTCTGCGAGCACCCGACGCAGATCTACCCTGGCCAGGTGCAATTTTCGGCTTGACTGTCATTGCAACATGGTATTGGTGTACTGATCAAGTGCTTGTTCAACGCTGTTTAGCTGCGAAAAACTTGTCCCATGTGAAGTTAGGATGTGTTATTGCTGGACTTATCAAAGTAACACCAGTGTTTTTGATGGTGTTTCCAGGAATGATTTCTCGCATCTTATTTACCGATGAAGGAATCAGTTATTAAATCAAAGCATAATCCAATTTGTATATTTATAAATAGAAAAATTTGACATTGAAAACATAAAATAACTTTTCAAAGTTGCTTGCGTTGATCCTGACAATTGCAAGTCTTACTGCAATTCTAACATTGGCTGCTCAAATATCGCTTATCCTACACTAATTCTTCGTCTTTTACCAGCAGGATTACGAGGAATGCTCATGGCGGTCATGCTCGCCGCTCTCATGAGTTCTCTCACCTCAACGTTCAATTCTGGTGCTACGTTATTTACTCTAGGTGCTTCTATTCATTCGATCTTTTTGTGATTTTGTTGTAGACATCTATGCAAAAATTCGCAAAAATGCCTCACAAGCAGAACTGCTAATTATCTCAAGGCTTACAATGCTTGCACTCTGCGGTATTTCAATTCTTTGGCTTCCTATCGTTCAAAATTCATCTGACGGACAGCTTTTTGACTACATTCAAGCAATCACATCGTATCTCGGCCCACCAGTTGTAACAATTTTCGTTCTTGGCATATTCTGGCCGCGTTGCAACGAGCCAGGCGCTTTTTGGGGGCTTTTATGTGGACTAATTATTGGTCTGACTAAAATGCTACTTGAATTCACGCAACCAACAGGGCTATGTGGCGATACGCTTCCAAACCCTTTGGTCTTGTCGAAGATGCATTATTTACATTTTGCGATTTTATTGGCATTTTTAACGGTGATCATCGCAGTTGTCGTATCACTTTTGACTCCGCCGCTCGACCCAAGGTAAGGAAGTAGACAAAGCTGGTGATAAAAATTCTAAGATATCTACCACGAATGACATACTGGACTAGGTTTTCTAATAAAAGGCGCAAATCTATTAGCGACTTGAAACCTAAGGAGGAAATCTCTCAAGCAGGTAAAAACTCAAAATTAACGAATTCATGTTTTGTTCAAGAAGTGCCAAAATGGCTGAAATGCCTTGTTCGTGAAAATAAAACTTCCTCTGAAGAAATTTCCATCGCAGAAGAACAACCGAACGAGGAACATGATGTCGAAGTGGATCCCTGTGAAATTCTCAAGGAGGAAAAGTCGTGGAACATTGCAGCGAACGTTGCTGCTGTTTTTCTAGCTGTTTCATGTGTGTTTTTGCACGCATATTTCGCATAGATTTCATTTGAATAAAAGGTAGTTTTTTCACAACAGTAACGTTTATATCGCACATCGTTTCCGTTTGATGTACTAGTTCGTTTTTCGGGTGTTTTCTTTTGGGACATAAAAATACTCAGGTTCTTCAAGGCTTGAGTTTGAGAAAATGAAGCCATCATTATTCATCGGATAAACTCTTTTGAAAAATCTAAAAGCCGGGAAAATACAGTTGGTATCCATCTTAAGAGGCCTTTTGAGATGACAAGGGCTGAGAGAAAGTCCTCTTAAGTTGGAACATTTCGAGTCAATTTAGGAATACATATTTTAAAATTCTTTTCTCACTAATGTCGAAGCTAAGCAGCATTACTGAAGTCAAAATTTGGACATTTGATGGAAAAATTGATCATGATTATTGTTTCCAGAACAAGGCGCGCACTTATGTTTTTAATTTTAAGGACCCCCATCAAGAATCGCGAAAATAGGGCATCTTAGTGAAAGTTTTCTCTAAAACTATCTTAGCCAGACCCTTAATTTTAATTGCATCCTTTAGATCGAACCCTCTACTGCAACCGTTCCCTTTAAGATGATCTCTCGATGCCAAATTTAAGGTTATACAGGCCGTTAAAGGTAAAGTTGCTTAGTGAACGTTTTTTGGGGTTTTCGTTGGGGTATACCCTTAATATTTTTCATGGTAAAGTTAACGCCCTTAGCTACGACCGTTTGCTTTTTGAGAGTTTTTGTCGACGAACTTAAGGAAGACAGCCCCTTTAAAATTTTATAAGTCGAATCTTAGTCGAATTTCCAGATTTTAATTTTCAGTAATTATTGCCTAAATTGCCCTGAATAACGTTTTTATACTCGTGTTTATGATAGAAATAGTTTTTATGGTTGGTATACCCTTAATTACCATTAAAAAATAGCGAACTAAAGATTTTTAGGAAATGGACAATGTTAATTTTCAATTTTTGAAGGCATTTTCTGCCAAAATTTTCTATAAGATCAAAAAATTTTCTGAATTAAAGTTGTTCCTCGTGGTCTAAACAACCCAAAAAGCAAAAAAATTTGAAAATTTTGACTTTTTCATCTTGATGGGGGTCCTTAACTTGTTCATTCCTCGAAAAATATTTTGCTGGAAACATGTCCGAAAAGAGAATTCGCATGACGATGGCCGAGAAAAAAGTATGCAGAGATTTTGGTGAAAGGTGCAAACAAAAGAAATGCTAAAAGGCTGTAAATGAGCTCTATCGAAAAGAGCATGGACAAGATATTCCGAAATGTACATTTACAAACCTTTATAACAAAAGGTTTACGATCCTGTCATCGAAAACGAAGCACAAATACCAACTCACGCAGAAGAAATCTGCATCAATGCAAAAGCTCGAAGAAAAAATCAAGCAACTATACCCGAAACGCCAATATAAAATGAGACTTCGTGGAGTCGCGAGATGGTTACGAAAAATGATCGATGAAAACTTCCCCGATGACAAAGAGATACAGGATCTATGTATTTCCAAACGCTTTGTCAAAAGAATAATACGTGACTATGGAAGAAAAACCTCCAAGAAAACTGATGTTATATTTCTCAGTGAAGAAGAGAAAAATTTCGAAATTCAGCGTTTACGATCCTGTCGTTCGAATTATCCATTGAGGTGAGGATTTGATAATTTATTTTTGAAATCATTAAATTATAGTGCTATTCTGAACTGTGACAAGACAGGCGTCAGCCGAGAGATTGACACGCGAAATCGTATCCTGCTTGGATCAGATGATCAACTCTCGAAAATTGCTCATCAAAAAGAGCGGTTTACATATATCCCGACAATCTCTGCGTTTGGGCCGCTAAAAGATTACCGCCCCGCAATCATAATAAGAAATCAAGGAAGTAAATGGAAAGGCGCACCAAGAAAGCAGATAGAACGAGTGGCCAACCCAAACTTCGACAACTCCAAGCCCTCCTCCTCTAAAAATCTCAAATTTCATGAAATAGAATTTCGAGATTTTAAAGGTAAAAATTGAAAAAAACAAAGCTTATTAATTTTAAGATTTTCGACTATACTGGAATTCCTCCGCCTGGTGTACAAGAGCGATATTTATTCTGGAGCTGACTCGTCTTTCGGCGTTTTTGAAAGAAAAAAATCCATCGCAGCGTTATTTGATGTATATCGATAACTGTCCGGCTTACAAGCTTCTTCCACAATTTAAAAATCTGCTACTACCTCGATGATTTTATCGTCGATCACGATCATCTTAATATCACAGAGGAAGAGCTCGTGAGAAAAGCCAACGAAATCTTCACTTACATGAATCCAGCAATCTTCAAGCGAAATTGGATCAATACTGGACTGATTAAAGAAGAAGAATACGAGGAGAATGTTGAAGACGTCGAGGGCTTGGACGTTTTCGAAAGTATCTTGGAGAAAGAAGACGAAGAAGAATTGATCGAGCATTTCCTGGCGCTTCAGATCGATGATACACAAGCTGCGACCCCGATGGATATTGAGGAAGAACCTCAAATTCCAGGTTCAGATGAAGCCGACATTGCAAAGCCATCGCCTTCAAAATGGCCAGAAAAGCAGTCAAAGATTTCGAGTTTCTTTACTGTAAAAAAAAAATGCTTAATGACTCACTGTTTGCCAAGATATTTCCCGAAATTTAATAAAAATCATCAAGAAAGTCCTCTTAAGTTGGAACTTTTTAGGATGACAAAATTAGCCAAATTGACGCAAAAGTCCTCTTAAGTTAGGGCCTCTTAAGATGGGTAACCACTGTACTCCAAGATTTTCAATATTTACCTTAGATATGGCGAGTCCGGTGACAACACTGTTTCATTGTCCGATTCTTCTATTATTTCAACTAAATTTTTGTTAGCGATGATTTATCTTTATTATTATTTTTACCGAACGTGTCTTTTTTTGCTTCTATTAATTTCCGAGTTCTCAGGCAAAGTCCTTTTTGAAGGACAGTCTTCAGGTATTAAAGTACGCAATTAAAGTATCTCATTACCTCTCGCATCCGAGTTTGCAATAATACCAACGGAGCCTTTCATCGAGTTTGCAAGACCAACCATTGCGGGTCCTATTTGTTGGAAGCTACTTCTTGACTTGGCGGCGATTATTTTTCTGTTCAACCAGCCCATTCGCGATCCAATGCAGAAGAGCTCACAAAGCTCGAGAAGGGAAACAAGAGATATCCCAAGAATGAGGCTCATTGCTCCACCCACATCTAAAGTCAAAATTCAATGTCTAAATGAAAACAGTTTAGACCTGAGAAAAGCTGGCTTATTTCGTAGTCTGCTTGTTCTTCGTGTTGCATTTCGTAGTTTTCTGGAAGCGAGATTCGTACTGAAGCCAATGCAATATCTGGGAATCGTTTGAGCATCTCCGCTGTTTTATTCCGGAAGTTCTGATGCATCTCAGTGTAATAAACTGTTTTCTTATAAAAGAGCTCCGAGCAGGGGACCGGGCAAGTGCAGTTTGAATACATGAACTCCTTGAGAATGTGAGCGACGCATCTCGTGTGCTCGTGGTACATACAAACAGGGTAGTCAGTTGTCTTCGGAAAATATGGGACCCAACATCTGCACTTTTTGTATACTTCTTTGATCAAGCATTCGTAGTTGCAATTGTACTTGCTGTAGTGGTCGAAATAGGCAAGAGATCCGTTTTTGATGCACTCGGTGTAGGGCTGCCCAAGTTTGATGTTACGATGTTGCTGGAGAAACATGATTGGAACGATTCGGGAATTGACAGTAATGCTAGTAAATTGAGTAGCTCAAACGTTCTAATCAAGATTCACCTTCTCATGGGGTCGAGAACAGTCTCTCCTTCGGGGTTGTAAAATATTGAGAATCCATCCATGAACGAGTTCCAGCCGTATGTCCAGTCGCTTTGATTGTACGCCAGCACCATCTGCAATGACCGAAATCCATCGGGCGACTTGGACTTTATGTCCGGCACGGCAGCAAGATCCAATACTTGGCAGTTTCCATACAGAGTCAATGTGCGCTAGAAATGAATTTTAAAAAATGATCAAATGCTTCGTTTACCTTCCACCACTTGGTACAGTCGTCTTTTTTGTACTTGCATGAGATCATAAGAAACGCAGAATACGTTTCGTTGTAGAAAGTTTCAAGATCGATGTGGTCAAAAAGCGACAGATCATGTTTGTACCCGTCGTGGTTGTGCCCGTAAAAATCCCACAGGGAGCAATTGTCTTTGATCTCATTACCACGATGTTGAATTCCCAACTCTGGGTGAAGTTTCATCAGTTTTTTTCGCGAGTGCATCGAGTTTAGACAAACAGTTATCACGGGAAAAGAGTCGACCTCATACTTCGCTCGATCCTTTATTGAATGCGGGTACTGAACATTTACTAGAACTTTGAGCAGTATCAACAATAGTCGAACCTGATAGTATTTGACTCCGATTCGCCAGATGTGATAGAAAGCGACATAATTGCCACTAATGAAAACCATCGCCCACATAAGCCTTCTCGGAATACTGATCTTGTTCGCAAAAATATACTTTAACCAGCCGCAAGAGCTCCCGCTAATATCAAAAAAGTCTTCTTTTTTATCCTCACCCATGGCGAAAAAGACTCTTTTCTATTCTGCAGTGGAGAATAGCGTTAATGGTTCTTTTATGCAGCGATTCAAAGGAAAATAAGGTTGCGACCGCATTTGACGTTTTGGGGTCTGATTAAAACGAAATAAAATTGCATAACAAGACACCAAGTGAAGTTCAATTACAGTGATTTAATAGGATCCTGCACGCGATTTTTTCACTGAGCTTTTCAATTGCATCTTAATTTTGCTTATGCCAAAGCTCGTTTATTCTGCAATGTTGGAGAGTCTTCTGGATGATCAAGTCTGGATCACAGCTGACGCGTGTGAACCCGTGTAGGTGTGCTGCCTATTTTGGGGAAAATCTATTCTTGAGAAAAAAATAGCATGAATGATATTATTTCAAAAATTGCTGAGAGAAATCTCGATCACATCATAGAAGAAATATTTTGGACGTTAAAACCAAAGGATATCTTGAGCTTAGCACACACATCTCGTCATCATCGAAGTCTCGTCGAAAACTTCGAACTTCTCCCGTTTTCCCTTTCGCAAGAAGAAGATGAGTCAATCGTCAACGATGATTTCGAGGATCAAATCGACAAAGGTTCCAATTTTATGAAATTCGCCGATTAAAAAATATTTAAAAAGAATTACGATTTTGCTCAAACAAGTTTATGACCGTCACAGACTCTATTTCACGTTTCCTCTACCGACAACAGGAACAGATTTTACCTTTTTTCCTCATGTTTTTATTTGAAAAGAACTGCTTTAAAATTTCATTTTCATTAATTCTCGGAAGAGACAGCTCGCGTTAGGGCGTAATAACATCTGAGAAAAGCGAAAAGCTGGAATAAAAACAAAGAAAGGCAATTTTCAGCGGAAAATTCACAGAATCAAGGATATTACCAGCATTGATGAGCAATTAGGTTTGGCTTTCTTAGTCTTGCGAAAAAACCTGTTTCGGCTTTTATAAAAATTTATATGTTTTGAAAGCCTCGATGAAGAAATGCCTGTAAAATATCATTATCAGCACTACACAATTTTCGAAGATAAACTTGTCGTTCTGGAGCCTTATGGTTGGATCTCTGTAATTGACACCGGAACGTGGACCCTTAGGAAATTATGCAAGATCTTCTTTTCGACAAACGTGTTCAAGTTTAAAAACTTGCGTCTGAAGAGAGCAGTTTTGTGCTTATGAGAGGGCGACTTTCACGGTTTGGCTCGGCTTGGTCGCTACTGAGTCTTTCATCATTTGAAAAGGGGATTATTTGAAACAAACGTTTAGTAACGATAGAAATTATATGAGACTGATGTTAATTCTCGTGTAGTTCTATTTGGTCAGGGAACACCTGGAGCACCAAGATCTTTAACTATGACGGCGAGCTTCAGGAAAAGACTTTTTGATATTTTTTTCTTATTGAGCATATCACATGGAAACTCTTTCAAAGCAAATTCTTCCTTCAGGCGAACTTCATCTCAACCCGTCTAATCCCAATCAACTTTTCATCAGGTAAAAATTATCTCAAAGCGATCATAAAATTTCATCTTAGCGCGAACTCGAATGACCAAATCGTCAGTTACAATCTCTCTGACGCTCTGGAACGGCCCCTCTTTGACGCTGAGTTTGGATTCGAGCCGATGAACTTTGGCATGTTCACTTGGAAGCCGAATATAAACGTGCTTGGAGAATACGCAGTTGTCGAATGGAACACCGTCGGTAACAACTTGCGTGACCGGAATAGAGAGCTGTGGGTTTATTCCACAAAAACAGGCGCTGAAATATCAGAAATCCAGATCGAAGATAATGACCCAAAAGTTCCAGTTTGGTCAAAATGGTTTATGTTCAATGAAGAGCAGTTTCTCATCGTAGTGCACAAAATTATCGAAGTTCACCGCGTCGTCAAGTTCTTCTGCGAAGTCGAATTCGAAAAAGTCTACTTTTGTAACCGCATACGCCCGATAGACAGCCAGGGCGAAAAACTTGAAATTTCCGACGTTAGAGGACATGTGACTAACGTAAGGCCTTCTCTTTAGCATCATGGAAAATCTTTAAGCGCAGGATAGCGTCATTCTCGGCTTCTCTGCAAAAGATGAGCCAGTTCGCCTGGTTTCGCTCTCTTTCAAAGAACTTCTACATTACCGAAACGAGGACAAGCTGAATATCGAAAGCATCGCATTTTTGGAGGATGTTCGAACCCCGAACCTGACGTGTATTGACAATTCCCTTCTTCTTTTCAAGTAAGCTGGCCATTTCTAACGGCTTCTGACGCCAAAAAATTAAGCACTGAAAAGGGACTGATCGAAGAAATGGACTTTCTTCACTTAGAAAAGAAGGATCAACTAAAGCTATTCGAAAAGATGGGTCTGTCAACAAGATCGGCCAGTATGTTCAGAACAAGGCAGAGAAAAAATTAAGCGAAAGGCTGAAAGAAATTGATGAAAAGTGTGCAGAATCTGAGAAAAGAGCAAAAGATGTGCGAGAATCGTTAGTGAAAAGCAGGTTTTTGCAACGCCGATTTTATGCGTTCTAACTATTTTGAAGGGATGAAAGTGTCAGTTATCGACCTAGATCTTCATTCACCGACCAAGACAGATTTTCTACATATACAACCAAGTATAGAAGCACTGCGAGTTCTTCGACTTCTGGTGCTTATTCTCGAGGTTACACAAGCTCGATTGGGCGGAGCAACAACACGTTTGATAGTCCCAGCTCCAGTTCCTCACGATACAGTTCATCCTACACTCCTTCTTCGTATTCGAGCTATTCATCATACAAAAGCCAGACGCCTTTTTCATCCTCTTCAACTGGATCCTACTCTTCGAGGCCATATTCGTCATCTACAACCAGCAGTTATACACCGTCTTCTTCCTTTTCTTCTTCAAGAAGATACACTTCTTATCGTTAGAGTCAAAATAAATGACCTTCTTTTCAAAACTTGAAGTTCTGGGCTTTAAATAATTCTTCTGTTTTGACAAGTTTCCACAAAAACGTGTTCGATGACACGATAAATTTCGAAGTCTGCGTTGATCAAAGTCGTGAAATCTCTGATTCAAGAAGTCTACGAATTAGAAATGATTTTCGTTCACTTTCCCCTGCGCGTCGTCTTCGCTTATTTGTCCGAGCGTTCCTCGCGCTACTATATTTTTCTTCGTCAGCGACGGCGATCCTGCCACGCAGATTATATTATTGCGCTGATTTAGAACTAGCTATCAACTTCTAGGTGGCGTAATACTCTTAAATACCTTATCAGATCCAGAACGAGCAATTATCACAGATCACATTTTTTCAAAAACCCCTTTTCTCGAAAAGTCGGAGACTACTTCAAGAACAAGAGGAGGAATAAAGAGATCAAAAGAGGAGAATGAAAAAGTTCCCGCTTGTCGCTACTGTACTTGGGAAGGCATCTGCTATCTCAGGAAAAGGTTCACTATTCACTACGCAAAAATTGAGCTACGTGATTTGATTGAACCCGACAAAGGCGAGTATGCAGCGTCGAGTACTTACATTCAAAGATCGCCGACAACAATCTGCCCTGCTTTCTCACATGTTGAAAATGCCGAGTACAAATGCGACGACACAGAAGACAAACTAGAGCACAACTCTGTTTGCACCTTGAGTTGCCTTGAAAACTACGAGAACTCAGTCGGTGAGGTCTCGCGGAAATGCAATTGCTTCACAACATTTGGCCCAATCGAATTTCCAAAGCAGTGTACTTGGGATGGCGAAGCTTTTGATGCGTGCACAATAAAGTCGGGCCTTACTGTTCCGATTTGCCCGACTTTGCCAGACATTGAAAATGGAAAGTGGGTCTGTGAACGGACTCGCGCTGACTCCCAAGACGGCGATGTTTGCTATAGCACCTGCAATGACGGTTACGCTTTGACGGAAACCAATTTGCGTGCCATTCAATACGACTGCGACTGCCAGGGCGAGGATTGCCTTTGGAGTCAGCGAGGAGCAGTGCTAGAGCTCGCCCTTCGTCAGCGATCGGCATTCGTCCTCGGACGTCAGCCAGTCGGAATCGCTCCAAGATCGTTCACTCAGTCTTCCACCGGTTGGAGCACGAATATCTTCAGAGATGCTTCAGCGATCTTCCCACAATGCGTCCCGATTCAAAGGGAAACATACAACGCGTTTGACAACACGGTTACTGAGTTCAATTTCTGTCCAGATCTGGTTCAACCTGAAAATGGAAACTTCCTCTGCACTCAAGGAACCAGAGAGGACACAATTTGCAAATTGACCTGTTCTGAGGGATTTTTAGAGGCTGGATACGGCGATAAAAATGTAAGTTTTTTTGCAAAAGTAAATGAATCTGAGCGTTATTACTAATAACTTATTAGCGACTAAAATGCGGAGAAGTATCACGCGGAGTGTACCAATGGCGCAAGAACCCACTTGATTTTGTGTGCCTGGATCTTTCAGCGGATTTCGAAGAGCACCAAGCTGGCTACGACATTGGCACTTGTTCCGATCCAAGAGGCTCCGCTATCGACAGCTATCCAGGTTTTTTTACTTGCGACATGGCGATCACTGTTGATGGGGTAAGTATTTTCTTGAAAGAAGAAGTATGTGATCTCACATGTTTTCCCGGTTACAGGAAGGGTTCGATGAGTTGTTCTCTGACAGATTTTATTCGATAAGAAAGAATTAAAGAACCCGCAAAGATTAACAACTGGGCGTTCGGAGAAAGAGTGCTTCTGCCGAAAAGACAACTGCTTCTGGCGAAATGATGACAAAGTCAACTGCGAGCCTGACGAGGGAGTTTTACGCGCGTTCGGCGTTTACGATACATGGGCGAATATAGGCGATCCTCGCCGTCAAATTGAGTTTGCTAGACAGGCACTTGGAGGAAAAGAACAAGAAATCACCCTTTACAGGTTTTTCTACTGCCATTACCACACACTTCTAAAATGTTTTAAGGATGCGACAGAGTGAGTCTCTCATCACGGCTCGCTCGGGGAGACCTAACAGAAAGAACAAAGCAGGTACTGGATTACTACAAGCACGGAGCTTGAGTATGCCTGGCCGACCCCAAAAAGTGACGTCTTGCGATGCGATTGAACGATCCGCCGGGCTCGAAAGTGCCAACTGCACAGGACAAAACGCGGGCGCTAGTTGCCGTTTTAGGTGCAAAAGGGACTTAAACTCGATGGCGCTAGTTCCATCTATTGCTCTTGCAACAAAAGAGGGAACAAATGCAAGTGGTCGAGTCCTGTTCCGACCTGCGAGTCTTAACTTTTTAAAGTATTTTATGCCGGTTAACTTCAACAAATGAGTTTTTAAATTTAAAAAAGGATAATATTCCCAGAAGATTGCAAATGGCCTGCCGTCAATGGACTTGATATTATCCCTTATTTAAATTTAACATAACCACAATTTTGAGCTTTTTTTTTATAAATATATCGCCCTGTATATAGGAATTCCATTGGAGACCAACGAAGAGGACAACTTGTGAAAATGTCCTGGAAAAAACAACGATTTGATAAAAATCGACTTCTATTTCTGTAAATATGACGAATTTGACTGTTTTAATTGACAAAATAAACGATTTATTACCATTTTAGTCACAGTTTTGCTGTCTCCCGAATAAATTTAGCACCAAACGCAGTTTCAGAAAAACGTTTCGTTTCCTTAGCCTTTTCATGCATCGTCTGCGCCACTTCGCCGTTGATGATAACTGTCAAATTCTCCAACGTGCCAAAAGCAGCGCCCATATCAAGATAGCAAGATGGAAAAACTAGCGCTAGTCCTCCATTGTCTCCGATTGCAGAGCTGCTTATCTGAAAGTAGTTTAGAATCGTCATGACTCACGAGCTTTAAAACGGCACCTTGTTGTTTGGAATAAGTTTTTGCAAAATCTTATCAACTGTATTTTCTGGCTCTTGCCTCAGAGCAGGAATATTTTGGATCTCATTGAGGTCGGCAGTGATGACGAAATCGGTCGAACTGGGAGGGACGTTGATGTAAGTTGGTGCGTTGCCAGCGATGGATACTGATTGAACTCGAACTGTGGTCACTCCCGTTTTTCCACTAAGAGAATAACTTGAAAACTGCTTTATAAATTTTAGGTCTACCAGAACCAGGCTTGCTTAGCAATTGTGAAGCGCCTGAGAGCAGCAAGACGAAAGAAAACAAGAGCAGTAAAGCAAGTTCCAAAATAAAGATCCAAAATGCTTCGGTAGAAAGTGTAATTTTCATCTGTTTCGAATAAAGATCGTTTCTCGTCATCTTTAAATTAGGTAAAGATACGGAATTAATTCGTTTCAAAACCTGTCAGTGCATTAAATTCTTGATTTTCTTGTTCGAGTCTGCTTAGATGTTTGAGTTGTTGAATTCTGACAGCAAATAGATAAAACAGGACAGCGAACATCAGCGGCTGAAGAAATTGAAGTTTTGGGCGAATAATCGGCTCAGCTTCGAGTTGATCCGCCACCTTCTCAGGGGTCATTTTTGGGTTGGATTCGACGGCGCGTTCAAGCGTTCGGTCGATAGGAACGGCGGTCTTTTCGAATGGAAGGAAAGTTGAGGCCCAAATTGAAGAGTGGTGGCATTCCGCAAAATCAGTCTAAGAATATCGTAAATTTTATTATTTTCAAATTTTCTAATTGAAAATATGATAATGGTCAATATGATATATTGACAATATCGAAATGATTATTTCTGATTATTAGGTTTAAAAATCGTTTACCTTCGCAAGCTTCGAAGAAAATTGAACTGAACACGTTGAAATTCTTCGGTAAGAAAGAGTTACAATATCTCTCTGAAAAATCGCCCTAGAAAGCATTTTTACCCTTTTTTCTCGTTTTGATTCTACGAGAGCTCCTATTGGCTGCTTTCTCCGTTCCCAATTGCCAGAAAGATTCAGTCTATCAAAAGATCACAAATTTATTGATTTATTCATTATCAAAGTATCATAAAGGGAGACAATTTGAAACGCACAGTACAGTAAAATTACGTCCAGCCTATTCAAAGGTCTGGTAGAAGAAGTTTCGGACAGAGTATACAGAAGCTGGTTCATAGTAATCGTCAGAAATGAAAACTTTAAGATCGCTGTCAGTGAAAACATCGCTAGTGCTGTAGGATCCAGCAATGACTTCCTCGCCGTCGACTGTTACAGAATACTCGGTTACGGATGGATCTGATTCGCGCTGATTGACTTCGACAGAATACGTGTTCCACTCTCCGTCGGTGCAGGCGAACGTAGTAACATGTTCATGATGGCTCGTTGTTGGGTTGTCCACAGAGATGTAAATCCTGTTTTGGTTTGGTCGTCGCCAAAGTGCGAATACTCGATTGCCAGATTGGCCGAGATCGCCACTGCCATTACCAACACGAAGAATGTTTCTCCACTGACCATCGGTAGAAAGGTCCTTATTGCAAAGAACATCTGCAGATAATTTGTAGCTGATAGCAGGGGTGACAGTGGAAACCTGGTTATTTCTTGATGGGCGGACTGCACAGCTATCAACGAAAGTGTTACAATTCTCGAGTCCATCGCAAGGATCAGTGCCATCTGTGCAAGCGACTTCCGCAACTTCATCAAAAGTTTGGTAGTAGAAATTTCGAACGGCATAGGTTGAAGCTGACTCGTAGAAATCATCTGAAGCCGAAACTTGAAGAGCGCCCTCGGACAAGGTGCCTGATTTATCGTAAGATCCTTCAAAGATCTCTTCATCATCAAAGGTGAGAACGTATTTGAGAATTGATGGGTTTGCTTCGACTTGGCGAACTTCAACAGAATAGGTGTTCCATTCACCCTGAATGCACTCGGCAGTAGTTACTCGCTCCTTGTGACTCGTTGTAGGATCGTTGACGGAGATGTAAAGCCTGTTTTGATTCGGTCTTCGCCAGATAGCGAATACTCGATCTCCGATTTGGCCGAGATCGCCACCACCACCGATGCGGAGAACATTTTTCCATCGACCATCGAGAGGCATGGCATGATCACAGTAAACTTCAGCGGAAGCTTTGAAATTCAAAGCGGCTTCAACTGTTGCTAACTGCTGATTTCGTGCAGGGAAGACTTCGCATTCATTGACAAAAGTCTCGCAATTGGCTTTACCATCGCATGGACTAGGGCAGGTAAGGTCTTGGTAGTAGAAATTTCGGACAGAGTAAGGAGTAGCAGCGCCGTACCACTCGTCAGCAACGAAAGCTTGAAGATTTCCTTCACTCAG